AACCCCCTGCTCAGGCAGGAAACCCTATACCATTTCAGACAAATGGCTGTCCAGTCTCTTCTTAAAAACTTCCAGTATTGGAGCATTCACCGCTTCTGGAGGCAGGTTCTTCCACTGGTTAATTGTTCTAACTGTCAGGAAGTTTCTCCTTAGTTCTAGGTTGCTTCTCTCCTTGGTTAGTTTTCACCCACTGCTTCTTGTCCTGCCTTCAGGTGCTTTGGAGAATAGCTTGACTCCCTCTTCTTTGTGGCAGCCCCTCAGATATTGGAACACTGCTATCATGTCCCCCCTCGTCCTTCTCTTCGTTAAACTAGACATACCCAATTCCAGCAACTTATATGCTTTAGCCTCCAGTCCCCTGATCATCTTTGTTGCTCTTCTCTGTACTCTTTCTAGAGTCTCAACATCTTTTTCACATCGTGGTGACCAAAACTGGATGCAGTATTCCAAGTGTGGCCTTACCAAGGCCTTGTAAAGTGGTATTAATACTTCATGTGATCTTGATTCTATCCCTCTGACCAACAAAATCAATGGGGAAGCCAAATTCACTTAACAACCATGTGATTCACTTAACATCTGCAGTGGTTTGCTTAACAAGTATAGCCAAAAGGTCATAAAATAAGGCATGACTCATTTAACAACTGCCTTCTTAACAACAAGAATTGCGGTCGTAAGTTGAGCACTACCCGTGGTTTTCAGTTCTTTTCACATCTCCGTAGCAACTTGGTGTTCCAGGTTTAGCATTCTGGGATCCAAGATCATACTGATTTTGAAACTAGATAGAATTGTGATCAATATGCCCCACAGTCTTTTTTTTTCCCCAGTGTTATTTTCCTGATTCAAGTTTTCCCCCAACTCCAACATTTGTGTAAAATAAAAGAGAAAGTGGCTTACACAAATAAGTCCTTTTTTTTTTTTTTCCCCTGCACCACCTCCCTTAGCAAACTGCAGTTCGGTGACCATTGTTAACCAAAGGAGATTTGTTTCATTCTGAAATGGCACACAGTGGACTTTCACCTCCAGAATTAATTACCCCTGTAGGGCTGCTGGTTTAGATGCCTTTGAGAGCGAAAAGAATAGTTTAGGGAATCTCAGTCCTGTGGAGCTCTTAGTAATAAAAAGCCTTTTTTTTTCATTTGAAACTTCAGTGTTCTGTTCCCTGCTACTCGTTTTTCATCTGCTACGTGAATCACGCTTCTAATTCTAAGATGGTTCCAGATCCCCAGGGGGAGAGGAGCTGATCTTGTGACTCGTGGGAAAAACTAATCCGACTATTGGATCAATTTTCCCCACAAGCCACCTAACAATTGTGCTCGTCCCGATGAAGGGGTGCTGTGCTCCACGTTTTAAATACAGGTAGTCTTGGACGTAGGACCACAGCTGAGCCCAACATTTCTGTTGCTAAGTAGTGCGCTGTGGCCCACTTTACAAACATTTTGGTAAGCACATCACTGCAATTGTTAAATGAAGCGTACCATTGTTAAACAATTCTGGTTTGCCCCATTGACTTTGCTTGTCAGAAGCCGGCTGGGAAGGTGGCAAATCACCTGACCCCGGGGATGTTGCGACTATTAGCAAATGCCAAGCACCCGAATTTTGTTCACATGACTGTGGGGATGCTGCAACGGTCGTAAGTGTGAGAACTGGTCATAAGTCCATTTCCCCCCCAGTGCCGTTGTAACTTGGAATGATTCTGCCAATCATGCCAATCATGTTCCTTAGATATTTCCCAAAAACTGCCAGAACTGGAGGCTCAATATGATCAGAGAAAACAACCTTCAGTTATCCAAGGATTCCTGGGAACGTTGGGTTTTCCATATACTGGTAGTCCTCGACTTACAACCATTCGTTTAGTGACCGAGTCAAGTTACAACAGCATTGAAAAAAGTGACCTAACGCCATTGTTCACAATTACGACCGTTGTAGTGTCCCGGGGTCATGTGATCACCTTTTTGTGACCCTCTGACAAGCAAAGTCAAAATGGGGAAGCCAAATTCACTTAACGACCGCGTTACTAATTTGATAACTGCAGTGATTCACTTAACAGCTGTGGCAAGAAAGGTCATAAAATGGGGCAGAACGCACTCATCTTGCTTGGCAAGGGAAATCTTGGACTCAATGGAAGTCGTAGATCGAGGACTATCTGTGCCTACAGTATGTGCAACTCAAAACTGCAGAATCTCTCTCCTGAAGCAATACGTAGCTGGAAGCTTGTAGGGACTCTGTAACTGAATAGTAAATCAGGCGGTTTATTATTCAAATTGTATCTCAAGCGGAGGCACCAAGTGGCCTAAGGCAAGCCTAGTTTCAGGCATTACACAAATAAATGGAGTTTATATAGACCTCCAGGGCAATGCAGATATTATCACAACTTACATTTTTTCTCTTTGAAGCACACAGAAATGCAAAGAGTTTCAGCAGCTGTGCTCAAATACCAGATGATGAGCAATAATGTTTTTCTAATGATCTCTCCAGCAGGTTTGGCTTCCATTAGCAAGCAGACCCAAATTCCTAATGAGCTTAGATTCAGCTTCTGAATTTCAAATAGCCAAGCAAACGAGTATTTCCTAAAGGCTGGAGCAATTTCTCTGCACCTCCTGTTATTTGCCCATCTTGCATTTGCTGCTAAGGCTGCGCTTCGCAAAACCCAAACTGGCACAAACTCACCACTCTGCATTACGTTTGAAGTGCCAAGTGTTGCAGGATTAAATGATTATTAAAGGGCTTTGGAAACCTGTCCTAAAAGCGATTAGTCTTGTAACCCTATTGACCTAGTTAGGGGAGGGCTTGACTCCAATCCCAGGACAAAGACGAACAATGTGGTTAACATCACAAACTTAGTACAACTTAATACCAGCTAAGGGTTATTAGGGTACAAAGTTCAATTTAATGGAGTGCAGCTGAAACAAAGCATTGAATTCTACTGTGCTGTGTAGAATATGTGGGCCTTTTACATTTTTGATAGAATATTTGTAGCTCAGGGTGGTGTCCTTGGCGCCCTCTCAGCTTGGTGGTTTTCTTACAGACGTTTAATTACCCAACTCGGTAACATCATCAGTGCACCTAATTTGATATATGGAAACTGATCAAGGAGAGAAGCAACCTAGAACTAAAGAGAAACTTCCTGACAGTTAGAACAATTAACCAGTGGAACAACCTGCCTCCAGAAGTGGTGAATGCTCCAACACTGGAAGTTTTTAAGAAGAGACTGGACAGCCATTTGTCGGAAATGGTGTAGGGTTCCTGCCTGGGCAGGGGGTTGGACTCGATGACCTCCAAGGTCCCTTCCAACTTTATTATTATTATTATTATTATTATTATTATTATTATTATTATTATTATTATTATTATTATTATTATTATTAAAAAACAACCAAGCTCAGAGATCACGAAGGACCCCACAGTTCTAAACTGCTGTCTAATGTTAGATTTATTTTTAAACATTTATTGATTCAGTAGATTTATATAGCTGCCTGTTTCACGTGCGCAATTCCAAGCAGCCTACAAAATTAAGCACACAAAAACGAATCAACAAAATAGCCAAACACTAATGGAAAATAGGCTAAGGCAGTGTTTCTCAACCTGGGCAACTTTAAGGTGCATGGACTTCAAATCCCAGAGCAAAGCTGGCTGGGGAATTCTGGGAGTTGAGGTCCAGCCATCTTAAAGCTGCCAAGGTTGAGCAGCACTGGGCTAGGGAGAAACTGAGCAGAGTTTTAGCTGCAGCTAACACCTTTGCTGACATCCTACCAGACTTTCAGTCTTCCTTCTGTCAGTTGTCATTTCAGAAGATTATCAAGCGACATAGGAATGCACCATCAAGCAGCCTTAGGAGTACACATTACAGGACTGTACGATCCTTACTCATCTTAAGTAGCAACCAGCTACCAATTAGTTCCTGGTTGCAATATAAAATGGTGGTGTTGTCCTATAAAGCATTTTATTGCTTGGCAGTTGCAAGACCCCTTATTCCAGGGGTCTTCAACCTTGGCAACTGTAAGACTTGTGGCTGAGGAATTCTGGGAGTTGAAGTCCACAAGTCTTAAAGTTGCCAGGGTTGAAGACCCCTGCCTTATTCTGGTCTGAATCAGCCCAACTTGTTAGCTCATCTAGAGAGAAACTGTTCTTAGTATTGATAGAAGCAAATATTTGTAGCTCAGGTGGGGTCCTTGATACTCTCTGAACTTGCAGGCATTTCAGTACCAAACTAAGTAACATCATCCATGCAAACCCCGCTCCCTTCTAGCACTGATGATCTTACCTAGTTTGGTATTGAAACGTCTGCAGCACGGGTGTCAAACTCGATCGTGTCACGTGACATATCACGACGTTTTTTTTCCTTTGCGGAGCTGGGGTGGGCGTGGCCTGTGTGTGACGCATCCCGCCTGTGGGCCGCCAGTTTGACACCCTCTGGTCTGCAAAAAAACAGCCAAGCTCAGAGAGCACCAAGGACCCTACTGTTCTTAGTATCCCACTCTTAGGAAACAAAGGAACATAATCCGAAGCAGTTTTCTGGTGTTGAATTGAATGCAGATAACATTTTCTATCCATGTCTGGTTTCTGAGTGATCATTTTCAAACAACGCCAATCAAGTCCACACAAACCAAATAGCATCGTAAGGAAAAGGGCTTATTTAGAGAAATAAATGATTAAATTAACATGATCGCGCTGAATTTCTGAGGAAGAGATTAACCCGCCCTGTCAGATAGAATACTGCCATCAAGTTATCTTTTGTGTCTCACGTTCTCTTTTTCGGTACAGATTACTAAATAAATCCTTTTTTTTTTATTTCAGACCACCGTGATTGAATACGTAAAACCCTCAGATCTTAAAAAGGATATGAATGAAACGTTTAAAGAAAAATTTCCTCACATCAAACTCACGCTAAGCAAAATCAGAAGGTAAAAAACTGTTTGGGACATGTGAAAATCACTTTGTGTGTCAGTCCTGTCTTTGGAACAGGCTTCTTTCTATCCAGATTTATAATAATAATAATAATAATAAT